CGTAATGAATATTAATTGACTTGGAGAGGTCATGGACAGAGGATGGAATGCTTCAATGATGTTTGAGTCACCATGTAGGAAGTTGATTATGATAATGCAGAATAGAGTATTAGAAGAACTTTAAACCCTTCAACTTGTTCGTAAAAATCAAATTAACATTTCTCATAGATTTTTTTCAAAAAAACTGATTTTATTAAGGTCTTGTTATGCTTAACCAAATATCTTCGGAATCACCCAGTAACTTCGTGTTCACCTTTTTATGGATGAAGTACCATAGTCGTAATGAAAATTAGTCCATGTTTGGTAGGGATTTTTATTAAATTCAAAGTCAATAATTAATTTATTCACATATTTCATGGGGTCCACAAATTTTCAACCAAATATTTCATCGAATTTTATTAAAATCTGTTAAAAATCTAATTTTAATCCCTACCAAACTGGAGATATACGACACTCTAAATACGTAATTATTATTTCGTGGGAAAAATCACACTAATCGTATACTTTGTCCTTTGGAATAGAATTTCCACATTGATGTAATGGATCACATGGGGTCTTTCTAGAAAGTAAAGTCTATAGACTCTCTATGGATTATTCGTTTAATCCATAACGCATATACGAGATTGCTTTTTGATATAAATGAGATACAACATACATGTAATGATTTACTTTTCTCGATGAATTTATGATTCACTACCTCACATTTTATCAAAATTTACTAATTTTTCTTTTTTTAATCAAAAGTTTTATCAAACAACTCCTAGAAGTTTTCTCATTGTTGGATTTATCTCTGACTTGTATAAGTATGCAGTCCCTAAATAACCTCTTAAAGGTTTCCACAATGATAAATTCAATCCTCCACAAAAATATCTTCACCTTGGATGGTACTTATAGTTTCTAAAGGCCCGTCCACCAATCCTGAATAGCCACCTAACTGTCACTAGATAGAACAACAACTCTGGACCGAATAGCGACCACTACTATTACAATGACAGATCAAGTGGTTCAACAAGTTACTGAGGCTAAGAGGAACGGACGAAATAGCATTGGCATCCACCCGTGGGAATAACTAATCGATTAGTTCAACATTCCGAATTCCACGTGTTTCTATCAATCCAGCCACCAAATTCACCTCCCTCGAGAAGGAGAAATTCGCTTAAAATCGAGGTCTCGATAGATCATGATAAATTCTACAATCACGCTTGGTATACAATGTTTTTAACAACATTGTTGACAACATGTCGCGTGTCATGTTGTCATCGGACAGTTTAAAGAACAATTTATCTTTCCAATCAATATTTTTCAGTCACATACAACATTAGCAACAATGTGGTCAAAATACATTGTACAGACAGCATTATTCTAAATTCTAACGGAATCTCAACAAGCCACTCAGACCCTTCTGGAACAGAGCACGTACGTCCCCAAGGAATACTCTTATAAATTGCACGGGACCCAGATTTATTATACTAAAGCCTCCAAAAAATCCTGAATCACTATGGCTAATATTTTATGCATCGTGACAAGATTGTTCGATAACGGTTCTTAAAAGTTGCGTTATGAACATTATTCTTCATAACATCATTAATAAATTTAAAATATTTTGAAAAATATAGTTCTATAACAATTATATGTACGGCCATAAAAAAAGAGATATAATAACCGTTTTAAAATAAGGTCCTGTTTGGTACACATTATTTTTTTCATTCTCATTCTTCTACTCATTTTCAACCACACATTCTTCAATAAAATAATATTTTTCATTATATCAATAACTTTTCCTTCATTTTTAGCCATAACCACACATTCTTCAATAAAATAATATTTTTCATTATATCAATAACTTTTCCTTCATTTTTAACCACACATTCTCCATCAATCTACTATTTAATAATACATTCTTTCAAAAGAATGTGTCTCAAACACACTATAAATCAACGCATGACCACTTAGTAACTGTCATTGAATTCTTGCTTGCAATAATTGACCCAAAAATCGTCTATGCCGACAAAATTTACCCCAAGCTAAATTTCGAAAGGAACATATCACCTCTTTATCAAAAATGATGAGAGAAACTGGGGGAAATGAAAAGGGATGAATCATCCATAAAGAGCATCTTTTTTCTATTCATTCAATGCATACTATTGGGGATTCAACTAGATATTTGCAAAGCCAAAAACATTATGTCAAAAATAGGCATGGTTGTATCTATTGATTGATGTTTGTCCAAAATTGGAGTTATTTATTCAACGAGTTATATTTTATCGTGTTTATTCATCTTTAGTTTTTGAAATACTCGAATATGTCATGCCGGTGTTTGATATAATAGAAACTTGGGGTGTAAGGTAAGACATGATCAAGTGCTAATGACTGAAGTCTACTGCCCTTGGAACGCCCGAGTTTTACTAGAGCGTCCTTAATTTTTGACCCCACAGTAAAAATGGTCTGGGTCCGCCCCCTTCGTGAAATGATCTATGCAGCTTTTACATTTTCACTAAGGGTTGATGAAATCCTCCCATCATGCTTTTGTTATTTTTCTCATAATAGGCTGGCTTTTAAGCGCGGTTTACACCTTAAGTCACCCCACTGCCTCATTTTTCATTATACTGCACAATATGATATCCTAAGTTTTTTCATATATTCAAAGTAACGTAACTGTTTCTCTTTTGTCCCTTTGCTTTGAAGACTTTCCAGAAATTTTATGAAATTTATTGTGGCATAAACTTGTTAGTTCTTTATAAATGCATCCCAAATTTTCAATGGAAACAACGACTCTTTCAGGATTGGTTTTTTTCACAATTCGATGGTGGGACCCAGTGTTTTTCGGAGCCATGCATCCTGAGGGAACTGCTCAAAGAGCTTCATGGCCCTATGTAGAAAACAAATCTCATCTCTGGACATGGCTTTTCTTTGTTCCTCTAGTTGCTTACGCCATGTGGCAGGTCCTTTATTTTCTTATTGTTAATGTCCTACGGCGACAGAGACTACTGCGAGATCCTGAAGTCATGACTTCGTACAGGTTGTTATCTCTCTCTCTCTCTCTAACTGCTCATTTTTATCATACTCATCCTATTAACTCCATATTCTGGTAGGGAACTCTCAAAAAAAGCACAAAAAGCGAACAATGTATGGTGGCGCTTAAGTGGTTTGCTTGGGGATCAGAATCGCTTGTTTATGTATATTCTGCTCCAAGCTATATTCACTGTGGCAACTATGGCGCTTACGGTCCCCATATTCTTGTCTTACAAATTACACGTCACTTTCCAAATACTCAAGATCTCTGCAACTACATGGTATGGAGGAAACTTTTTGTTAGAAGTGATGCCTAGGCAGGCCATGAAGAAAATAGAGATGCAGCCAATTAGGAATTGTCAAGACGGATCGACCCCAGAGAATCAAGTTGAAGACCAAGATTGAATCAATGGTGTTGGAATGATTGGTTTGGAAACATATGCTTATGTGTAGTTTTTAGGGTAAAGGAATAGTTAATCATCTAGTAGCTTTTGGGCTCTTTTCCATGTCTGTTCTTGTCTTTATGTCTCTATGTTCTTTTATCTTTCCTTTTTGCTGTCGAATGAAGGTTCCTGGTAACATTGTAAGGAAAAGTTATGAAAGAACCGAGGAAAAAGAGTTTTTTTTTGGCATAGTTGTAGGACCCGACGTAGGAAGTTTGTTCCTTTAATAGTTCATTTTAATGTAAGGCGTAATGAATATTAATTGACTTGGAGAGGTCATGGACAGAGGATGGAATGCTTCAATGATGTTTGAGTCACCATGTAGGAAGTTGATTATGATAATGCAGAATAGAGTATTAGAAGAACTTTAATTCAACTTGTTCGTAAAAATCAAATTAACATTTTGCATAGTTTTAAAAAAAAAAACTGATTTTATTAAGCTGTTGTTACGCTTAACCAAATATCTTCGGAAGTAACTTTGTGTTCACCTTTTTATGGATGAAGTACCATAGTCGCAATGAAAATTAGTCCATGTTTGGTAGGGATTTTTATCAAATTCAAAATCAATAATTAATTTATTCACATATTTCATGGGGTCCACAAATTTTCAACCAAATATTTCATCGAATTTTATCAAAATCTGTTAAAAATCTAATTTTAATCCCTACCAAACTGGAGATATACTTGTCTCGTGATTGACACTCTAAATACGTAATTATTATTTCGTGGGAAAAATCACACTAATCGTATACTTTGTCACGTGATCCAATTCTCGGTTCATTAGCAATCGAACAAAAATTATTTGTCTAGACTTGTGCCATTTAGGGAAAACCTTAAGAGGCATATCCCGTTTCTTTTCTATTTTAGTATTTTTCGAGCGTGAGAATTAAAAATAATCCCATCTTTTCATTTTCTTCAATCCATTTTTATGATAAAATCTCCCGTGTTTGAAAATGAAGTGGTCATCCATACTTACAAAGAATGCTTCTAAATTGTACAATATCCATTTTTTTTTTTTTACTTTGTTTTGATAGTTCCTATTATGCGATGATACTCAAATTAGTAAACCGTGAAAATAAGTAAGCGTGTGTGCGCATTCAAATTATGATTTACTTTTCTTGATGAATTTATGATTCACTACCTCACATTTTATCAAAATTACTAGTTTTTTTTTTTTTTAATCAAAAGTTTTATCAAACAACTCCTAAAAGTTTTCTCATTGTTGGATTTATCTCTGACTTGTAAAAGTATGCAGTCCCTAAATAACCTCTTAAAGGTTTCGACAATGATAAATTCAATCCTCCACAAAAATATCTTCACCTTGGATGGTACTTATAATTTCTAAAGGCCCTTCCACCAATCCTGAAGAGCCACCTGATTGTCACTAGATAGAACAATAATTTATAACAACTCTGGACTGAATAGCGACCACAACTATTACAATGACAGATCAAGTGGTTCAACGAGTTACTGAGGCTAAGAGGAATGGGCGAAATAGAATTGGCATCCACCCGTGGGAGTAACTGATCGATTAGTTTAACATTCCGAATTCCACGTGTTTCTATCAATCCAGCCACCAAATTCACCTCCCTCGAGAAGGAGAGATTCGCTTAAAACCGAGGTCTCGATAGATCTTGATAAATTCTACAATCATGCTTGGTATACAATGTTTTTAACAACATTGTTGACAACATGTCACGTGTCATGTTGTCATTGGACAGTTTAAAGAACAATTTATCTTTCCAATCAATATGTTTCAGTCACATACAACATTATCAACAATGTTGTCAAAATACATTGTACAAACAACATTATTCTAAATTCCGACGGAATCTCAACAAGCCACTCAGACCCTTCTGGAACAGAGCACGTACGTCCCCAAGGAATACTCTTATAAATTGCATGGGACCCAGATTTATTATATTAAGCCTCCAAAAAATCCTGAATAACTATGGCTAATAGTTTATGCATCGTGACAAGATTGTTCAATAAAAGCATCATTAAGAAATTTAAAATATTTTGAAAAATATAGTTCTATAACCATTATATGTACTGCCATAAAAAAGGGATATAATGACCGACATAATAACCGTTTTAGAATATATCATCGCACGAACACTTAGTAATTGTCATTGAATTCTTACTTGCAATCATTGACTCGACTATTAGAGTGCAACAGACCACTACTGTAATCTTACCAAAATCGTCTATTCCGACAAAATTTACCCAAAGCAAAATTTCAAAAGGAACTTATCACCTCTTTATCAAAAATGATAAGAGAAACGGGGGGAAATGAAACGTGATGAATCATCAATCAAGAGCATCTTTTTCTTTTCATTCAATACATACTATTGGGTATAATATTTTGATTCAACTAGATATTTGCAAAGCCAAAAACATAATGTCACAAATAGGCATGGTTGTATCTTAACTACAAACAGGTTTTAACCTCATGCCCTAAAGCACCAGACCCACAACCTCAAGTGAACTGTACCATGAAGTTGAAAACTCAAAAAATCTTCCTTGCTTTTTCGAACTATTTTGAGTTGTCTGAGGCCCACTTCATATTGTGGTGTGTTCTTAAGTTTCCTTGTTCAAACGTGCAGCTGCTTGAAAACTACTACTCAGACGCATAATGTAAATTGTCACTGTTCTTGTTTAGGTGAACATTAATCCAGACTATTGGATTATCAACTTGTATTGTTACAGCAAAGCATAGACTAACACAAGTTTTGACCATTTTCTGTTAGCTAGTTTCAATTTCTTCGACTCCAATATACTAAATATTCATACGGACATATTTAGATCCTGAATTCGACACGATCGATGTCAAACTTGGATCGCTTCACAAACGAAAGGGAAGTTCAACCTTGTATTCAAAAACTCTCTGTTAAAAAAGTAAAAAGGACTCTGAAAGTGAAACAAAAATTACAATCAGAGCCCACAATCCCAAATCAAACTTTTATAGCTGCAATCTCCCAACAATTCAAATATTAAGGGGGGGCTCTAATTTGAGGTCAAAAAACACAATCAGAGCCACAACATCCATTCTCTGCCTACACGTCATATACCTCTACATGTTATTCTTATTTACTGTGTATTACACCACAATCAACTTTTTTGTTTTTTTTGTTTGTTTCTGTAAATTATAAGCAAATTTCACACCACGATTTCAATAGTCAGATTATGAAAGATCGAGCCGGTCCGGGCCTGGATCAGCCCAACTTTCTCTTCTCTTTCATTGAGTTCATCTTGTCCAGTCTCCATTCATCTCGGTGCCTGGCAATGAAAGTTTCAGCCTTGGCATTCACATCTGGGCTCGGGCAAGAAACTGAAGGCCCGATTGAATCTCCACCTTCGGATTTAATTGACATCAGATCGAAATCTTCAAGCTCTGAGGGCGGGGAGCTGCACTGGGAGCTCTGCGCGCTGCTTATCTTAACAAATTTTCCACGCGCCACGAATTCCATTTCCTTCATTTTGAATGGAGGTGGAGGTGGCGGCATTGGTATAAGGGGTGATGATGGTGCGATAATGACGCTTTCATTGTAGTAGGAGCTTGTTTTCTTGGGTTTTGGAGGTTTGCCGGCGTCGATAGGGTGGTGCCACCGTGGCTCCGGTGCTGGAGGTGGAGACTCGGACGGAGATGGTGTGCTTATGTTCTTGAAACGGCGGATTTTGGTTCCATTTTTGAATAAAGAATTGAGAATAGAAGAAGGTGGAGGAGGAGGAGGAGGTGGTGGTGGAGAAGCTGTGGTGGAGGATAATTGGAACTGCTTGCTTTTGCTTCCTGTTCTGAAAATATTGTTGAAAATTGAGTTTGGTGGCGGAGGAGGGGGAGGTGGAGGTGGTGCTGTGTTGGAAACGGAATGTACACGTTTATTCTTACTACTCTTTTTGAACATGTTCTGAAAAACCTTAGATGGCGGCGGAGGTGGCGGAGGTGGTGGAGGAGGTGCTGCTGCTGTTGCACCTGACTGTTCCAGTGAAGAATTCTCGGAGGCAGATGCTGTGTCATAAATATTTCTTGTTTTCATCTTCTTTCTCTTTCTCTTTCTCTGACTTTTGTTGTACAATGAAGCAATTGCTGTTGCTATTTCTTTGGTGGTGCCACTCCTTTTCCGGTGAATTATTTCGCTTTTTACCTCCAGATACTGTGACTTCACTACTGGTTGCTGCGGCAGGGGTGGTGGCGGAGGAGGAGGAGGTGGTGGGGGCGATCGGTTTTCACTGAATTTATCATCATTTCTCTGCTTTACAAATATTTCTTTCTTTGGGACACTACGGGAAGATCTTCTGCTCTTCAAACTTGCCACAGGTGGTGGCGGAGGTGGGGCCGGTGACTTTGGCTCTGTCGGAGGTTGAGGCGGGGTACTAACTTCATACTTATCTACTGGAATTTCCTTCACAAGCGTGTCAGGATCGGCTCTGTCCACCTCACTCCGCCGAGCACGGCGGTGAAAATGTTCAACTACAGGCGATGTCCGATAAGATTTCACTTCAAAATCATCGAAAAACCTGAACCTATTATCCCCATTTTCCCACATAGACTCCTGCCTTAGATCAGGATAAGAGCTGCTGTTCCTCCTCAGCCGTGTACCACCGCCGTCTCCCACTCGCACCGGAATACTCAAAACATTACCGCCGTACTCTTTCCCGTCGGAAAATCCGTACAACTGAGAACTCGAAACAGAGTCCCTCGGCGGCGGCCTAGCAAAATCGGAAACTTGTAAAACATCTAAGTTTTGTTGATCAGTTGCATCAGAGGATGGAACTTCATCGTTTATTCTGGAAAAAACGCCAACAATAATTGCGAACAATACCAACACGATGATGAGTGTTAGGGTCGAGAAAAAGTGTCTTAAAAGATGAAGAATTTGAGTGGTGTGTGAAAGAAATGGAGGAACCAAGAAAAACAATATAACTAATATGAGAATTGGTACGGCTAAGATTAGTATCACA